ACAGATGGCACTTGATTCATATAAAGGTTCTTTATGATTTTAAGGTCATTCTCATCTATCGAACGTTCCTGGAGTAATCTTACTAATTTTGAATGATTAACACATTCAAACGCTTTCTGGTAATCTATAAAACATAGGAAGACATATTTTTGCTGATCTATGCATTCCTGAAGTAGGACAGTTAAGCTATAAAGTGATTTTCTTGTGCCAAATTCTTGTCTGAAACCGAACTGTGTGGGGCTAATGTCTCTTTCACATATGTTGTATATTCTTGTGCGAATTATCTTTAAGAAGAGTTTTAGGACCTGGCTCAATAAGCTGATCATTTGGAATTAGTCGCAACTATTAGCGTTTGTTTTTTTTTTGGGGATTGGTATAAAGGTTGATTAAAGCCAGCCCTGAGGTATTTGACCGGACCCATAAATGTCATTAAAAAGGTCTACCAAGGTGTCTAAATTGTCTTTACTCAACATTGTTAGAACCTCTATGTATATGTCGCCTGGGCCTGGTGCTTTTTCCCATTTGCTCTGTTTGATTGCCCTTACAACTTCTGACAATATTTTGAGGGAGAGTTCACTATTATATTCACTATCAGAGTTTCTTCAAACACTTTCAACGGGGCTTGATCTAAAAGCACCAAGGGATAGTCGTAGGGATGTATTTTGAATCGTGTTTAGAGAGTTTAGTAAAAAGGTACTAGATGCCATATAAAGGATACTACCATAATCTAACTTGGATCGAATTAACGCTCTATATATTTTAAGGAGAGATTCTTCTTCAGCTTCCCAAGAGAAGCTAACAAGAGATTTAAGTAAATTGATTCTTTGGGTACAGTTTCCTTTAAGTTTCTGAATATGTTGTCTCCAGGTAAGCTTTTTATCAAAGGTGATACCAAGAAGTATAAAATAATTTACTGTTTGTAAACTAAGTCCGTTTAGAGTTATAGAAGGTGGATTATGTCTATGCTTTTTAGTAAAGTGAATTACTTTAGATTTAGGAGCTGAAAACACAAATCCAGCACGCGTAGACCAGTTGTCTATTTTGTTCGTTGCATTTGGTAGCAAAGTGCCGGTGGTAGCTGTGACTCTGCCTTGGCAGTATAATATAATATCATCAGTATATATCGAGTACCTGACTGGAGGTTCTAGATATGACGAAAAGTCATTCATGATAAGTAAAAATAAGGAAGTGCTTAAAACTGAGCCTTGAGGCAAACCGTTCTCCAAAGCATGTGGTTTTGATATTTTTCCATTTGTTAATACTCTAAAATATCGATTTGTTGAAATTTTTTTTAAAAATAAATAAATGTTACCAGTTAAATTATATTCCCTTAATTTTCTTAGAATTAAAGGTCTTTTGTACAGTGTCGAAGGCACTTTTGATATCTAAAGTTACTGCTATGACTTCACTTCTATTCAAAAATGCGTTAACAATGTCGGTGTGTAGTGTGACCAGTTTATCCATTGTGCTTCGATTTAATCTGAAGCCTGTTTGGAATGTGTCAAGAATATTATTTATTTCTAGATACCATAATAAGCGTTTATTGTCAATTTTTTTTAACAGTTTACATAGTGAACAAGTGACAAAAATTGGTCTATATGAATTTAGAAGATTTGGAGATGAGTCATTCTTTTTGATGGAATTGTAGTTGCTTGTGGCCATAATGTTGGGAACTGGTTTTGAGACCAGATCTTATTATATAACTCTAGCAGTTTGAGATGTGTGTCTGGATGAATATTTTTTAAGAATATTGATGGGATATCGTCAGGACCGGCTGCTGAGTTTTTTAGTGAAGATATCGCTTCGTTTAATTCTAGGAGATTAAAAGGAATATTCATAGAGCTACAGTTAGAAAATATTTTAGGGCTGGATATGTTGGTATCTGAGTTATTGGGAAGATTCGGAATGTTTGACTTATCTGAAAAGTGGAAGGCAAATATATCTCCAATATGTTGATCATCGGTAACTGTTTAATTCTGCAAGGAGATGGCGGCAATTTTGCTGGATGTATTATGACCTTTCATACGCTTTATCTTTGACCACATTTGCGAGGGTGAAGTATCTTTTATAATTGAACTAACGTACTGATTTCATGAGGCTTTCTTACTTTCTTTTAAAATACGTCTAGAATTGACCTTTTTTAAATTTTTTAAATCCGTAGTAGTACGGATCTTTCGTAATTTATTTAATGCTTTTTTTGCATTGTTTCACAGCTATTTTGCACGACTCATTTCACCACAAAATAGGTTTCTTGCAATGATCAATCGTGCATTTATCAATACATTCCTTAGCAGATTCAGTTATTAAATAGCTTTACATCTGTATCTATATCATTGTTAAAAAGTAACTCATCGGTTTTTCCCTCAACAGTGGTTCTAAACAGATCCCAGTTTGATTGAATGGTTTTCCATTTTGTTATAATTCTTGAGGGCATTTTTGACTAGTCAAAGATGAGGATAGGAAAATGATTACTATCATAGAGGCTGTTTAATGTGTACCATGAAAGTAAAGGAAATATTCCTGGATTACAGAAAGATAAATCTATGGAAGAGAAACTACCTGTTTGGATATGAAAATATGTAATTCTTCCTGAATTTAGTAAGTTTATATTTATATTATTTAGGAAATTTTCGATTGTTTTACCTCTTCCAAATGTGTTTTCGGAGCCCCACATGCATTAAAGTCACCTGATAAGATAAAAGGTGTAGGAAGCTAAGAAGTTAAATCTTCAAGATCGGAACTTATTAAACAGTAGTTTGGAGGAATGTACATATATGCAACAAATTGTAATATTGTAAGAACACCAAGATGTAACGGCTATAGCTTCGAGATTTGTATTTAGCGGAAATTATTTATGGAAAATATTAGTGGAAACAAAAATTGATGCTCCGCCACTGGCACGAAGTTGGTTAGTTCGAATATAGTGGTAACCAGTAAAATTTTTAAGTTGTCCGGAATACTTATCAGTAAAATATGTTTCTTGTAGGCATAGAAAGTCAGGAGAAGACTCAGCTATAAGCTGCTCAAGGCGTGGGCGACGAGGATAAAATCCATCATAGTTCTATTGTGTCAGTGTGAAGGCTGAAATTAATATGTAGAGTATTTTGATTTTTGCGAGGTTTGTGAACAATCAGACAGGTATTCTTTATCACAAGCATCCTGGGAACTATCAAGACTGTTTATACTTTCAGAATCATCTGTTGCAGAATGTATTTTAGTTTTAATTTTTTTAATTAAGCGTGTAATTCTGATTTTTGTAGATCTTTCTTTAAAATTTGGGTTTATTGATTGCAAAGTTGGAATAAGTGATTTATCATTTGTTGTGAATTTGACTGCTTCTGAGACAGGATCACAGCTGCCGTAAGCGTTCTCGATAAAGGCAATTTTATTATAAGGAGGAAGTGCAAAAGCTTCTGGGTTTTGTTTAAAGGCTTCGCGTATTACTTGCTTGGAGTCAGTGAATAGACTGGAGTCGAGAGAAGAACTACGTTTTCGTTTCTTTTTTGTATTGAAGGGGCTAGAGGAGCTAGGAACTCTTTTTTTGGGAGGAAACATAGTTTGTTCTGTTGCGGGGTTTTCCCTAGATTGAAGGTTATTATCGCTTAATGATGATACAGATGAGAGTGGCTTCTTCTGTGAAAGCTGAGAACTTAAGCATAGTTTATCTGGCTTTTCAGATATTGTATCATTTTTGCAATTTTCTGGGGAGAAAGACGTATCAGATAGATTTGTTTAAGAGGGATACGGTTCAGAATGAGATGGAAATTGTTTATACTGTTGCTGTGACGTTAATTCGATGGGGGAACTTAGGTCATGAGAAAGAGGTCATGAGAAAGAATAAGCGGACTTTCAGATGATAAGTTGTCGGATAAAGTATTGGGACAATTGGAAGCAACATGTTCTGATTTATTGCATAAGAAACATTCCATCTTGTCCGTTGACAGAAAAATTCAATTATCATTGCCTTTAAAAGGAATTAACAAGGAGGTGTGAAGCTCAAAATTATCAGAGGGAGAAAAGATATATACTTTACGGCGGAAGCTAAGGATGTGAGAGTATTTATCACCTGGAATGCCTGCTTTAAGGAAGGACACGGGGGAGGCTATTTGGAAACCAAGACTCTTCACTGCATTTTCGGCCAGTTCATGGGAAATATAAGGAGAGATGTTCGAAATTATTATTCTTTTTGTTGCGGAGACAAGTTTACGAATACTTAAAATGAGGCGTCCGATTTGAACGGTTGGGTGGAATTTCAGAAGTTGATCAACGAGATTTGAGTGCGCTAGATATATGCAGATCCTATTGTTAGATATTCTGGATGCAAAGAAAATATTTTTTGGTTCAATAATATCACCAATGGCTTTAACGTAGTCTAGAAGTTTGAGGTTTTCTTCTGCGTGAAGAAATATCGCTTGTTCTTTTTTTTTGGAAAAGATAGTTTGGGTGTAGATTTTGAAGCGGGTACGTACGAAAGGGATGTAGCTGCTGGAATGTTGTTTGTAGCAGTTTGAGGTAGCATGGTTAAGAGAAACTGTAGGATTGTTGTTTAAATTTGTAGTGTTTATGTAGATACAGACAGTAACCTCGTTTTATATCTCTTCTTTAACTGGTTTTGCTATCAAAATTTGGATTAAAATCCAATGAATTGGATGGCCAACAAGAACCAACAGACTGGTTAAACTAATCTCTGGTATGCACTTTGGATAAATTAAATGTAATTTATATTATTTAATAATATAGTGAAAGCAATACGTACAAAACTAGTCCAGAAATCACTTTTCGAAATTACACTATTAAAACTTAATTAGTCACTAATTACTGCCGATAAGGCAAACTAGATTTTAATTGAACTTGGCACACATCTTACTCGTTCGAGTGCTAGAACAGGAATGACCGAAGTATTTAAACTCATCTACTAAAGTACTGATCTTAAATTGTAATATTTATACATTTTCCAGTCTGTTAAGTTTTAAAATACTTAATTATCTATTGTCTTTTAGGAACCATTGGACCTGAGGTAAATTTGGTTGTCACCCCCGACCAAGGCCTCTTTTATACCATTACCAGAGAAAATTTAAATGACCCTAAAATAGCAGTGCAGCCCGTGACGAATAGTAATGGTCTAGCATGGAACAAGGCAAACAACAAATTATACTATATTGATACGGCTACACTTAAAGTGGTGTCATTTGACTACGACGACGCAAAAGGCACAATTTCTTCTACGAATAAGACTGTTTTTGATCTTAGATCAACTAATAATGTTACTGGTAAGTTAGGTGATCCACACTTAATTTTTTTTAAATAGTTTAGAAAAAAAATTATTTATTTTTATTACTCTTAGTAAAATGTGTAATATTAATCTTATAGCGCTAACAAATATACTTATAACTTTACATGAATTCACTGTATACCAATAAAACAACTTGTGAGGGCGATCATCATTATCATCATTCTAGCTTTACAACCCTACGTCGGTCCTAGCCTCCTTAAGAATTTCTTTTTAGTTGTCCCTATCCATCGCTTTTCTCCGCTGAGCACGTATTCCCATATTTCTCATGTCTTCATCGATGTTATCAAGGAACCTTGTTCTAGGTCTTCCTCTTCTTCTCTTGCCAATAGGTCTATCAAGGAGCGTTTTTCTAGCTGGGTCATTTTGTTCCACTCGCATTATATATCCCATCCACCTCAGAGGTCCTATGTTTTGTTAATATGTTTTACGATATCAGGTTCCTGGTATATTCTATAAAGTTCGAAGTCGTGTCGTAATCTCTACACTTTATTGTCATTCACTGCTCTATAAATTCGCCTTAATACTTTTCTTTCGAAACATCCTAATATGTTTTCATTATTTTTTGTTAAAGTCCAGGTTTCTGAACCATATGTTAGAACTGGGCGTATTATTGCTTTGTAGAGTTTTATTTTTGTATTTAATTTAATAGCATTTAATAGCAGGATTAAGTCCGAAACAGCATCTATTGGCTGTGCAAATTCTGCGGTTTATCTCTGCGGTAGTATTATTTTCAGTGTTAAGGAGCGCTCTCAGGTATACAAATTGGTTGTAGTATTTATGGTTGCGTGCTTATTTTCATATACTTCCGTTTTGTTGGTGTTTATTTACCCCTTTTTGTAACTGATTCTTTTATTGCTACATAGCGTTTGTCGTTCTCCCAACAATATTGATATCATCAGTATAGGCCAGGATTTGCACTGATTTATTATACAGGGTAATACAGGGTTATACCTTAAGTAATTGTAGAAAAAGAATCATCAGATTCTACAGTTTAAAATATTACGACTTAAGCCAACTTGTTTTAATAAAATGTTAATATTAAAAAAAAGGGTGTTAAAGTGAAAATTCAAAATTTTATTTTTCGCTATAACTTTCATGTTTGAAAACATTTATGTATAGAAATTTACAACTGGGTACTATTAAATATCAGGAATTATAATTTGATGCATACTTTAATATAGCTAATAGAGCACCACATATGCCACATACGTGGTGTAATGTGAGCGTAGCAAGTGAGTGGGGAGTTGGAATAAAGGGCTAAGTAGCATAGAAAAGATAATAGTTATTCGAGATAATTATTATATATTTTAAATTTAATAAGGGAGAATTAATACAGAAAGTATACATTTAGGTTACACAAAGAAATTGACCTAGTTAGTGCATTGTTTGTTAATTGTTTAAACGTAGAAAAATCACGTCAAACAGAAACTATTGTAGTAAAAATAACAATACTCGTGACCCAAATAACGCCTAGGACTACAACTCAGCGAAAACACGACCTTGGCACTATAACCGGCATTGAAAATACGAGCTCAATAAAAACAAGAAGAACAGGAGAGTCGGCAGTCAGTAATAGCGGCAGTCAGTAATAGCGAGTCAGTCAGTAATAGCGGGGAACCGTGACTGGCCGCTCAGGCAGTATTGCCGGCATCGGGTCGGACGCGACAGCGTCCAGTACGCGATCAGTAATAGGCAGTCGGTATGTCTCTGGGAAGTAGTTAACACGCGACATAGTATCTCGTATAATCAGGTTAGTGGTGAAGTTCGTAACAACGGAGGAGTCCCCTCAACTGACCGAACTTCAGAGGACCGAAGACGTGTCGTTGTTGAAAGTCTAACTATACATAAGGTAACAGATATCTATATACTAACCAGAGTAATTATAATAGTACAACTGTCAATTCTTCACTCTCTTGCTTCTCGTCTTCCGGCGCGCCGAATGACTTATTAACGATTGTATTTGTAAACTACAGGGTACATTCAATATATTGTAGACTCTAATTTGGTTCTAATGTTCCTTTCGGCCGATTCAGACAGAGACTAGGAGAGTACAAGATTCTACTTATACATACCTCCGGCTTCAGAAGTAAGCCCATAACCTCAGCTCTTTACAGGACCTGAGACCTAGGAGTCCTTACCCCTATCCCAAAAATCCCTTATCTTCTCGTAAATCTACGAAGACGAACCAGTCAGTTCGGACCAGTGGGGCCAGTAAGCCTAGCAGCCGCTCGCAGGATTAGCATCCTTTGAGGGTCTATAAAGTATTTCAGTGGTGACAGCGGAGTCGCCGCCTCCCGTATTACAGTGGCATACATTTGCACTTAACTTTTTTGTTCTTCAAGTTACCGGTAGTTTTGATAAAAAATATTAAAGATAAATTATTTTAACAAAAAAAAAAGAGAAACTTGTTAATAACTCACTTTTACAAATCAATTGCGTAATTCTGATTTACCTAACGCAATTACTCCAGGCGATGAAAGAAAAATAGATAAAAACATCAATACTTCTGAATTTCGTTATAAAATACCTTTAGTAAAGTAATAGTTAACAAAATATTAAATAAAATAAATATATCAGCAGGATAATTAATAATAGAATTTGATAACAAAACAGAATAATTGGATTTTACATCATTTTACGTTTAATATTAAATTAAAGTCATAATCAAAACATTTTATTTACAAACCAAATTAAGAAGTAGTTACACTAAATAACATTAAACTTTTTGTCAAAGTAAGTGTTCGATATGTCCTCCATTTTCTTTAATTCATTTGTTAATACATTCCATAAAATATCGTCTCATATTAAATAGCATCATTGGTTCTAAAGAAACCGCTGCAGTACTTATTATAATTATTATAAGAAGTATAATAATAGGTATTCTTTTGGGATTTTTATAAATTAAATAATTATATTAATATCTTACCACATGACAAAGAAATGTGACTACCACAAACAATCTAACGTTAAGAAAAGTTGTTTTTAAATACTGTTCTCACTACCCTTTCTCTGTAATGTATTGGTGTATCATCTTGTATAAACCAAATATTTAGCCTTAAGTTTGATGACAATTCTTCCAATAAATCAATAAAATCATTTTATAAAAACTGTAAATAAATTTCACCATTCAAATTGCAAGGTAATTCGCATATCTGTAAAATATCATTCAAAATTCATATTTAAAACGCATGTCCTATGGTTTGGAACCATTGGTAATTATTTTTTACGGATATGTGAATTACCTTGCAATTTGAATGTCGAGATTTATTTACATCTTTTATAAAATTTTATATACTTATTCCTTTTCCTATTTATCCTGCATAATACCGGTGCTCACCTACGGAGCACAGACATGGACATTTACACATGCCAATTTGGATAGGATAAGGAAGGCACAAAGAGCGATGGAGAGACAAATGTTGGGTGTATCACTTAGAGATAGAAAACGTAACCAGTGGATCAGAACCAGAACTAAGACAGTAGACGCGATAGAACAAGCAGCAAAACTGAAATGGAAATGGGCTGGACACAATAAACGTCTACAAGACGGACGATGGAACAATGCCATCGGAAAGTGGCGTCCATACAATACAAAGAGATCAAGAGGCAGACCACAGATGAGGTGGAAAGATGACATCAGGAAACAAGGAGGTCCCACATGGCAGAGAACAGCTCAAGATAGGGAAAGATGGAGAGAACTGGGGGAGACATATATCCAACAATGAAAGGATAGAGAATAGGTTCAAATATATATATATATATATATACATCCTGTATATATGGACCAGGACCTGGAGATATCCCAATTGAGCTGGTAAAGTATGGACCAAAAATATTACACGAGATGATGGTTAAACTATTTAATAAATGCTTAAAAGGACAAAATATCCCTGATGATTGGAATGTTGGATACATCAGCTCAATATACAAAAAAGGGGATAAACGCAATTGCTCTAATTATAGAGGAATAACTGTTACTAGCTCAGTTGGGAGGTTGTATGGTCGAATAATAAAAAAACGAATTGAATCAGAATATGAAGACATAGAGGAACAAAATGGATTTCGGGCAGGAAAATCGTGCATTGATAATATATTCGTTCTGCAGCAGGTAATCGAAAAACGGAAGGCAAGGAATCTATCTACCCACCTATTGTTTGTAGATTTAGAGAAGGCATATGATACGGTACCTTTGAAAAAACTATTTTATACATTGACGAAAGTAGGTCTCAGTAGAGAGTATGTGGATGCTATCGCAAATATATACAAAAATGCAAGAAGTGTCGTTAAAGAAGGAAACTTTATATCTGAATCATTTCCAATAACCAAGGGGCTTAAACAAGGATGTTGTCTGTCTCCGACCCTGTTTAAAATATATATTCAATCATCGTTAGAGCAGTGGAGAAAACAAGTATCCGGAATGGGTATAGATATAGGCGGTGGTGAATGTCTAACAACTTTATTTTTCGCAGATGATCAGGTAGTCGTAGCGAATGACGAGGAAGACATGGACTACATGTTTAGAAAACTAAAGAAAGAATATGAAAAATGGGGCCTCAATATGAATATGGCAAAGACAGAGTATCTTAAAATAGGAGATGGTGAAGAAGATCCAGAGTTAGAAATTAGAAACACAAAAACATGCAATGAATATAAATATCTCGGATCTATAATATCTAAAGAAGGCACTACCAAAAGAGACATCGAAAACAGAACACAGCAGGGAAAAAAAGTGGTAAACATTCTAAACTCTCTACTTTGGTCTAAAGATATTAGACAAGAAACGAAATTGACAATCTATCGAACCTTGGTAGAGCCTATTATGACTTATGGGGCAGAGGTTTGGCAGATAACGCAGAAGGATAGAAAAAGAATAGAAGTAGTAGAAATGGATTTTCTAAGGAGAGCGTGTGGTATATCCAAAAAAGATCACATCAGGAATGAAGATATTAGAAGGAGGACAAATACTGTATATTCCAG